GGCTTCCCAATACAATATGTCCAATATGAACAGTATTCTAATTTTTGGTTTTTGATTTAGTCATAATGATTAAGCTACATACTTGTGATTGATGCAATTCATTAATGACCCGTGAACCGCGGTAATTCGTTCAATAATTTATTCTATGAAATTAAAATAATAAGTAGGTAACCATAATATTACTCTATATCGATTTAGGTTTCACGTAAAAAAATTGATTATAAGTTCTTTAAACTCGACGATCATTTATCTATTAATTATTTTACCCAAAATATACAATAAGCACTAACTTATTTGATATTATAATGCATAAATATAACTTAAATAATTGATAGCTGGTGCATAGTAGACACTAAAAACGTAATAGAGAAATTATCAATTTTTAGTTATATTTTTACATGAATTTCAACAATGTTATATTTTATTTCTTTAATGACAGCATGAATAACGATCTAATGCTATAGGGTAATAGGTAGAAAGGTATAGTTCAATAAGTTAATAATGTAATACCTATAATTTTAATTTGATATATACCGATTTTACGACTTAATAGGTACCTACTTAGTTATTTTGTTCTAGGTTCAGTAAATAAAATTATTGCCTGGAGATCAACAATACACACAATCGATATAAATTAATAATTAAAATATTTGTATAGCAATAAAATAATTTCGGTTATTTAATCAATAACTCGCCTAAATAATAAATTTCACAGTTTGAATTGCACTTTAAATTAATACATAGTTTATTATTTATTTATTTTTTTATTTTATCAAAAAACGACCAAGTACCTACATACTCATGTACGTTGAATTTTATGTGCAAAATAGATTTTGTTCTCATTTTCATGGCATGAGCTGTATAGCACGGTATACCTATAGCAAAATGTATGGTTATTTTGGTACGACTTATTTTTTTTTATTAACTATGTCTTAAAACTATATCTAATATATAGTGTCCAAACAGTTATTCCGACACTGCTTGCGCCTACGTATTTGTAGTGTACTTTAATGTGTCGTGTTTATTGTAAACAAATCGTTCGTAACTACTTACTTGTTACTATAGCAGGTATATTATCAGTATCGTGGTGTTTTGATTGGGAAACAATTTGAAGAGTAGTGTAAAAGTGTGATTCAATTATTTCAATTGTACTTGGTGCGTTGCTGAAGGATTTAAATATCTCATTAACTCGTTAGGAATACACACATACGCCATCTTCCCATATCACTGTAATATGTTTCAACAAATAAATATAATTCTTTTAATTTTCTTATGATTTTTAAAGTTATGTTAGTTGTGCGTTTAAAACCTAACCTATATACATGACTGTGTATGTGAAAAGTCTTGACGATTTTATTTTGGACGATATTATATATTATCTTAGGTAATACACACCAATATACTTACCGTCCGACACACGTAATAAATACCTATATTGCTGATAATCGTCATTGATAGTGGTCAAAACTCAGAAATTATAGAGCGTTTCTTTATGACGTTATAATTGTACTTGCCGAGTTAAATATCCGTACACACTCTGAAGATAATATGGCAATACTCAATAGCAATAACAATTAAAAGTGAACCCAATAATGCTAATTTTGAGGAATGTTTCGTGTCTTTTATAATTTATATTATGTACACATTACATACCATATAGAAAATTCTAATACTACTTATTCATTCACTGATTGTTACTTCTTTAGAAAAATAAAAAATGATGAACTTGAAATTTGGAATAGTGGTTTCTCTAATCCAGCTTTTCCTAAGAACACTTGTTGAATAATTATTTTGTTATCAAACCATATCAAAATATTATTATATAAATATTGTATACTACATATTTTGATATTTACTGTAATTTATAAGTATTACCTCAATAAAGCTGGGCATTAACTAATTAAAAAGTGAAGTTATGTTACTTTTTTTATGAGTTAAGTTATTTTCCATGGTGACATGGTGTATCATTAGTACCTAATCAGTTAATTAATTTCATAAACATGTTAAATTAATTATATTCTTAATACAATCAAAATACCACGTGGATTAAAAATTTATTTTGTTCTATAGAAATATTATTTATTTTTTTAATAAATAATAATTAATATGTATGTATTGTAAAGACTATAAATTGTCAATTTTCTATGTGTTTAATGTACTATTTCTGGATTTTAGTTGCAGTAACACCATTGAAGTTTTATAATAATCAAAATTTAAGTAGGGTTAAATCAAATAATTTTGAATAACAAAAAATATTTTAAAATAATTTTTGTTGAAAATAGGTTGTTTTGGTAAGCGTTCTTTTTTCAATTATTTTGATCAGTAGGTACTAGCAAAGTAAAAATTAATGAACACTCTAAGCAGTCTAAGCTCTAGATTCTAAAATATGATCACTCGTGCAAGAAAAAAAACACATATCATTGTAAAATGTTCATCTCAGAATCTAATACAAGGCAGACAATTTTTTTAAATTTTAAACTGTATTTTTATACTAATCACAGCAAAATAATAAAAAAAATCACAAAATAAAATATTACAGTAATGCATTAAATAAAGATTCAATTTGGTGAGGGGTTTAGGGGGTGATTATCTTTCTTAAAATTGTTCTCATTAATGGACCAACTACAAAAGTAAGAGGCCTCAAAACTTCAAGTTCTTTTTATCGAATACTTATATCTAAATATATCATAAATTTCTAAAAATTATATTTTTTTAACCAATAATTCAAGTTTAATTGACTATAGAATATAGATACTATGGAAATAATTAAGACTTGTTACTAATTTTGAATACTTTTTAGAATGATATTTTTACTTTTTTTCATTTAGATTAAAATAGTTCTTTAGAAATATTTGAAGAAACTCTGCTTATTTCTACTAGAATATAGGCGATAGATCAATATTAAATTTCAACAGGTTGAGTTACACATTAAAAAGTGTATAATTTATTATATATATATATTATTGTCATTGATTAAATAATAATCCATTTCATAACCTTCTCCATAAAAAATATAATTAACATTCATTACATAACAATAATAATAATAACTAGTAGCTGATACAAAAAACACCATTTTACTTCATAAATATAAAAAAAAAAAACTAATCATTTAACACATTAAAATAATATAAAATTGTATTATTAATTTCAAACACATTTTCATAGTACTCTACAAATTTAAATTTGAGCAAAACAAACATATTTCTATGTAGATTTTTCTTTTGCAAAGTTTTGATGGTGCGTTTTGATTTAGGTATATATACCACTGCCACAAAGAAATTTTAAAAATAAATATACTAAATTAAATTTAAATATTAAATTTTCATTAACAAATAAAATAAAATTATGTGATGTGCACACAAATATAAGTAAAATAAGAATTTAAATATTTTACAGAATCATGTTTCATAATTTATAACATGAACTAACATGATAAAATCGTTTAAGATACTGAATACAAAATAAATAAATAAATAAATAATCACCAAAAAAAAAAAACAATTTTACTTTGTTTGATACTACTAGTTGAGTTATTTATTTATTTTAATAGTTGGATCAGTCATCATATATTACGTTCTAATCATACATATCACATACCAAAAAAAAAAAAATATATATATATATATTTGATTATAAAATAATAATTGATGAAAAAAATAATAATAATTCTAATTATCATAAAGGAGATTCAAATTAAATTTTTAATAGTTTATATAAACCACAACTGTGTTGGACAATACACATTGACATTTTCCAATTATTTAAATGTATCTTAATATAAAAGTCATGAATCAGTATTTTGAAATTTGCATAATAATGAGTTGTACAACTACTATATTTTATTTTAATTAAGTATTGTTGTTTAAAAAGAATATAAATTTGATTGACTAACAGTTGTATACATTAAATTAATTTTTAAATGACTAAAAGAGTTTTACATAAATTGTGAAAAATAAAATAAGTTATATAAGAACTAAAAATTAAAAAAAAAAAAAACTGATGAGATATTTTAAAAGTAAAATAATTGTTAATTAAACTAATGAATCTAAACAAGAATATTTACGTTAATTATATGCATACCTATTTAAATTCATCATAAATTTTATAATAGTGGAATATTTCTTTTGAATAAAAAGTATAATTAAATAATAACATATACTTATGTTTTATAATCATAGAACTATTTTATCATACGTAATAATTAATAAATAATTAGGTTTATCTTCTTTTTTTTTCTACTATACATTTATAATCAAAAATATTTTAGATTAATTATATTAGATTTAGTTGTATATTATTTTTCTTTAAATAAAAACATTTTTAATTGATAAATATTAGTTGAAATAAATATTTTCACTAAGATTCTTTTTTTTTTTATTAATATATTTTTACCTTTTACTTTATTCTAATCAAATACATATATTTATTAAATATCTTTATTGTGGTTGCATATAAATAAAATTTAAAAAGTTGAAAATATTAGATCTTATTACTTCCTATAAAAAAATATTGAGCAAATAATAATTATTACATCATAAAAAATATAAATTGATATATTTCTTTTTTATATTAATAAAAGTAGTTTAAGTTTAAGAATAATTATTTATAAATGATTCATAATGTTTGAATGAAAAAATATGGTTAAACAAAATGAAAAATAAAAAAATTGTAAGACCACTGATCCATCTACTTATATTTTTGTATTAAAATGTTCTCATGATTTTTATAAAAATTAAATATCTATTATTATCTAGTGTGATTATGAGTGTGATGAAAAAAAATAAATATATTTTTTTAAAGTACATAATATGTATAACTAAGTAAATACATTGGTAAAAAAATATGGTAAAATTCTTGATAATTCTTTATATGTTTTCTATATAAAGGAAATTGTCTTCAGGTAAAATGTATAATTAAATACTTAAGAGTATACAAATAATTAATGTAAATAGTAATTTAATGGTTTGTATCACTAAACTTATATCATTTTAAACTAAAATGATACAATAGATCAATCAAAATAAATTTCAATCCTAATATAATATCACAAAATTTTTACGTTTAAAGCTTTTTGTCTATTTCGCCTTCTAAACCAATTGAATATTAGCTGTACAATAATTGGCCAACCAATTAGAACCACCATCTGGCATAAATTATAGTATGAAGCATGAGGATGTCTTTGTTCTCTCGTTTTCATCTGAAATACATTTTAAATTATAGCTCAACATGTTTTAAATAAATTTAATTACACAATATAATAGAATGTATTTTTATATTACCTCATCTAATTTCAGTTCTATTTTAACAATTCTATTAGTTACAACATCCAGATCATACTTCATAGAGGATATTGTATTTCTTATTTGTAATTTAAATTCATCTAAAACTAAAAATAGTAAACAATATGAAATATGCGTTAATATAAAATGATAATTAAATACAGAATACTCACAGTCGTTTGCATATGTAAACTGTATCATACTATCCTCATTTTGTTGAGATACTGGAATAAAATTGTTGGGCACAAGGTCTTCAATATAGTCATCAGAATTTGAATATTGATTAACATTTTGAATGTTGATCAAACGCTCTGCACTTGACTGAAATTTATAATACAATAATGTATCATTATTTATCAATGTAGGATTCAGAAGTTAAAGAAATTAAAATTAACAAAATATGCAACACTTATGTGTTAAATATGTAATACAAATTTATAAAATAAAAAATTAACAGATAATAATGAAAATTTAATTAAAGAATCAAATACAATTGTACACAATTCACCTACATATTAAAAACCAAAACTATGGTTTAATGCCAATTACCAATTTTTGTAATTCTATAAAATTTGAAAATTATATTTAATATTTTTAGTGGCCATTTTAAAACTTTTGTTAATCTATAGATTGATAATTATTAAGGAAAGGGGTGTTGGTACTATTTATACAAAAATTACTTTACAGGAAAATCTCTCAGGCTTTATAGAATTGTTGATTTTGATAACTATTTTAATTTTTTATCTAAAAGAAGATTTTTATCAACTCGCATTGAACTCTAATTTTTTGTTTTGTTCCAAATAATGGTATAAATTGAATTTTAAAAAGCTTAAAATTGTCAGTTTATTTTAAAGATAAAATATTGAAAAATGGAGTTCAGTGCTGGTTGTGGAATAATTAGATTTATAATCAAAAAAATATATATACTGTAATTCAGTTGATTTAAAAAAAGGATCATTATTTCTATAAGTGCATTTTTAAGAACAAAATTACAATAGAATTAGGAGCTTTAAATACAATTATTTATTTATAACATAATATAAATATGATTTAACCCATTACTTACATCAATAAAATTAAAATTTTGTTTCTTAAACTTTACATTTAAAACTAGACATGGATAATATAATTTGAATTGTGTTTAATGAGCTAGATTTACTTGGAAACCTTAAAAATTGTAAATTAAGCTTGGCTAAAAATGTTTTAAGAGTGAAAGTCCTACTATTATAAAATATTATAGTATTAATACCAATAAAATAGCTTGTATTAAGCTAAAAATTAAATCAATTAATTTGTTACTTGATTCATAAACCAAATGAACACGAAAAATATTCAAAACCTATAATTAATATTTGTTCACATAACCAAAAAAACATTCTTGAACTCTATTCTATAGTATATGTAATGATAAACAAATCACTTACTTCTAATACATCATGAAAACATTCTTCGTCTATTTCTGTGTCTGCTATATCTCGATGTTCATTTATTGATGAAACTATGCTGCAACTGTTTTTTTCTATAAAATTTAAAAGTATATTTTCATAATGATTTGACAGAATAAAATACTATAAGATCATAAAGGTTATTAACCACTATTATTATTAAATATTAATTAACTAAAAATGTTAACATTTTGACAGAAATTTTTAGAGCTATAAAAAAACATTTTAATGTATATTAGCGCTCTACAGTAAATAAATTATAAAGTTTTACAATAATTGAAAAGCATAATTCAGCTAATATACATATAAACAGTATATTTAGTTTTAAGTTTTTAAAAATGAATCAAGTAATCCTGATTTTTTCAAGCATTTAATATTCAAAACAGTTCTATAAAAAATATGATATACCTTAATAATAATAGTGGTTCTAAATAATTTTCGAGCTATAATATTCACTGAATAAAAGTTAATAATAATAAAAAAAATAAAAACTGTATTACCTACAACTCTAACTAATAATAATATTATGTAGTGATATATCATATATAATGTACTATCTTACTTGAATGAAATTTTTTTATTATTAACTTACATTAATTATAATTACTAATATTTTCATAGAATTTTAAAAGAACATAAAATTAAAATACCATTTAAATTGCCTCGTTCAATTGGACCAACCACCATTTCTAAGTCATCAATGGAAACTGATTCATAAAATGAATCTAAGCTAGACACAAAATCAGCCACAGGATTTGTATAAGCCATAGTTTCTACAATCTGAAAATTTAAACATAACAGTTAATTAAACAAATAACTAACAACACAAAATTTCTGTGAAGCCAGTATAATATTATGCAATTGTCAATAATGTTTATTGAAACTGCAGTTAACATTTTTGAGTTATAAGTATAATTGTTAACTATTTTAAATATCATTTATAATTTATATGATGTATTATATAAACATATATATATATATATATATATATATAAATATTTATTTATTTATTGAAAACACAATATAAATATAGTATCACTTAAAATTATAAAAATAATTCACTGAACATTTGATTTAATAATTTTTGTTATATTCAATTTAATTAGAAAATTATTAAATTATTATTCATTAATTTAAAAATACACAAATCTCAAATATTTTTTCACAACTTAAATGTTTTATCACTTGGGGAGAGTAGTGTAAAGTGTATTACTACCTCTTCTATGAAATGATAATTTTTATGAGTATGGATGCCACTCCTATTGAACTGAAGTCTCAGGGATATGATAAAACAATCAAAACAATAGTAGGGATTACAAAGTAAAATTTTTTCCACTGTATTAAGATTTAAATATATGAATGCACACATCATGGCCAGCAGTGTGATCATTGAACCACACTATTAAATTTCACATATTTGAGCTTAAAATTAATTTCCTAACTTTAAAATTCAAATGATAGAATTTTCATATCTATATTAGATATTATTACATTATTATTATAGTAACATTAGAAACCCTATTGTGCAATTAATTAAGTAATTAAACGACTAAAAAAAAAATATATATAAAAACATAATTAACATAATGTATGTAAAATCAGCTTTAAAAAATGACTTATAATTAATTGAGTGATTAACATAAGTTTAACGGTACTATGTGATTATAAATAAGATAATCCATACAATAAATACATAAAATAAAACAATAATATTAAATAAACTACATATTTATATTTATTATTTAATTAATTTTTTATAGCTACCTTTTTTAACTCATTGACATATTCTTGCATTGCATCCTCTTTTGACATGTTACCTAAATCATACCAAGCTTGCCATTTTGCTCGATTAACGACATCCCAAAAGCTGGGTTTAGGCTGATTGTTAGGTCCTACTGTTGCTTGCTTGAAATATGCATAAAAACGAAGCAGGAGATCTTTGGATGGTTGGTATGCACCTAAAAAAATGGTTTGTAAATATTTGATGTTAATAAAATAGATTATACTAAACGAGTTATGAGAAACACTACAACAAATATTTGACAGTACGAAACAAATATTGACCAATTGGGTAACACTTAATATTTATTGAAACAAAAATATTTAAAATGAATATAGATTTACAAAAATAATTCAAAAGAAAAAAAAATTTAAGAGAATAAGATTGGGTTGGGAATATTGAAGCAACAATAATAATAAATATATTATTAACAAGTTTAGCTATAAATAAACATCTCAGTATTGAGCTCACCCAATAATATTGACATAATTTTTAAATTGTCAAGTATACTACATTTATTTATAGAATGTTATTATGAATGTACATTTTACATATTGTACATAAAAAAATATAGAACAGAAAAAAATATTTGAAGTACCTATATTTTATGAAATAAATACTTAAAGTAATTTAGTTTTTTATCTGTGATACTTGAAATATTAATAATATTGAGAAATAGTAAAACACTTATTATAAAATATATATGTAATTTTATACTGGTTTCGATTTTCTATGATCATTATATAATAAATTATCAAATAAACAATTAAGTGAGTGCAATACTCAAGACCAATGGTAGAATGTTCCACAAAAACATTAATGATAGATTAAGAAAAAATTGGATTAACAGAAACAAAGAGAAATAAAAAATAAAACTGCGTAAAAAACAAAAAATTGAAAAGAAAAGTGAAATTTAATTAGTGTAAACTTTCAGCCAGTTTTGAGTTGATATTCAAGCCAGTACTTCAAATAAATGAATCATGCTTATTTTTAAATATATATTTTTATACATATTTAAAACTGAGAATGGCGTAGAATAGTTTGAACAAAAGAAGTTAATTTCAATAAAATGTTACTAAGGAATTTTTTAAGTTATACTTATACATAAATATACACACACATATATATATAAATTTTTTTTTTTAATCAAATAATAATAATAAAATAATTATCATGTTACATTTACCTTAATTATGTAGGTATTTTAAATTTAATAATAGAATAATAAACTATGTACTTTCAACCATATAGGTAGGTATTTTTATAGTATTAGTTAATAAAATTATGTTAAATAGATAATTTATTATAGTGACCATAGAAGGTTATTTCATTGTTCAACTGTAGTGTTAAAATTACTACCTATATTTGGAAGAAACAATTTTTTTTTTAAATATGTACATATTTTCATTTTATCAATTCACTGTTATGTTAAAACTAACAACACATAATTGGATTCTGATGAATGTTAATTTGGTATGCTGACATTTACAAAAAGAAAACAACATACACATATGTAATATCCTCTTAAAGTTCATCATTTGGAGTCCTTAATTCTATTTTGAATGTAAACCAATTGAATAAGTTCAAAAACATTACTTGAATTTTGTTATTTTTAAAAAAAATTTTCCTCCAGAACTCCATAACTATGATCAAATTTGCATACAACTACAACTGGACTTACCCACTTAGGCCCTCATTGTGAAATGATGTTTATATTATACAAACTAATCAATGGTCATATTCACTCTCCTTATTTATTAGATCATATCCAGATTTCCTTAGCTTCTTTATGTCCTATCTCGATTCTAATTTTGCAAAAAACTCACCCCTATCTAGGCCATGCAATAATTATTCTGAATTCAATTTCTATTCTGATCTATTAATATAATAACTAAACTTAATCTTAGTGGTGCAGAAATCTTAAAAATATGACCGGACAACATATTATATTTCTAAAGCTCCAATATTAATTAAAAATTGCACTAAGTATCTAGTATCTTAGGTATTTAATTTTATATTATGATCTTAACATAATTTAAAACATAGTAAAAGAAATAAAATTATAATTGTGGTACCCAAAAATATTCTTAAAAATGCACATAACGTATTGATATAACTATAAAGCCTGGTTCACATTCTTGAATATAATATACAATACATGTCCAATCTACATGTGAATGTTTGTATAGTACTCACCATCTTTTGGTAAACTCCTGATGACGTTTATGGCCGCAGTAAACTTTTCTTGTGTGGACATCACTGCTTTTCATGTGGACAGAAACAAAAAAAAAAAAACTAGTTGTGAACTTACGTTATTGCGGTAAAAGACTACCTATCAGTGAATATGAAAAAACCAAGTCTGAATAATTAATCCTACAATATGAACGTTGAACAGACTATTTTCTTTTCATTTTATGATAATTATTATTACAATTCGACGGTGATAATATCATGACAATCACTTTTGAATAGACGCACAGAACATCGGATTTAAACGAATCAACGTCGGAAGAGTGTAAAGGCCAATCAAGGGCACCATTCGCGTTTGGTGCATTAATTGAATTATACATTTCATTATAATTAAAATAATAAAACGTTTCTCAAAACATATTACGGAAATCGGCGATAACAATGAATCATGATAATATTAATAATAATAATACCTGATGTAAATGCGCATTACTGATTGATTAAAACACAACTTCGAAAATGTGATAATAATGGATCATCTCTACTATGATAATGATAATATTATGTTAATAATTATTACCTTCGACATCGTCATCTTTAAGCGTCGTATATTTTTTTTTAAATTCATCCATAGCCAAAATGTGAAGTTTAATGAAGATGTCCGAGGGGTACGGAATTTGTGATATCTGAGTTAGGCAACATACCTATCTGTTTGCATTACCTCGTCCGTGCGTTATCATTGTTATTTTTTTTCGGTATTTAATATTTTGATTTTTTTTTTTGACGATGATTTTATTTTCGAACCGAGTCTGTTTCTTTTCGTTGGATAATGTAATTTGTGTAATAAATTTCTCTAAAATCCGTGTTTGAAGCGTTTATATGCTACGAGTATATTTGAGACGTTTGACATAGTGGAAAGAAATTTGTGATCTTAACGAAAGTAACTTACTTATGTGAAGTTGGGTGCTCAAAGCTATGTGGCAGTTATCCGTTTTCCATACGATCTGTGATAAGAAATCTTGTATTTTAGGTTGTATGTCATTAGATTTCGGGAGTGCGTTTCACTATTAAAAATAATATTTATGTGTAATTTAAAAATATTATAATGTATGTTTTTAAACTTTTCAAACGGACATTGATCCCATTTTTTTTTTCAAGTAATTTCTATACGAACAATAGCCTCACATTAACTAATATTAGTTTAAAATTATTATCATAAATGGTAAACTCAACGTGTCAACAAAATATTGTTTTAGACATAAAATTGTTCAATAGATTTAGTTTTAAACAGCTAAAAGTATCAAAAAATTATGGATTTAGACACAGAAGAAAAATTCTAAGGTAAACATTGATTTTAAAAGATAAATTTAATGAAGTAGCTCATTATATTAAGAATAAATATCTAGGATTAAATTAGTTGTGTCAGTAATATTTTTAATATCGTTAAAAAAGAAAATGATCGTAAGTAGGTTTAAAATAAATTTCAAATGCTGTAAATAAAAACATTTAATCTATTTGTAATTGAAAGTGCACAGAGTCCCAGCAGAAGCGCACGTTTTGAAAGCGCAATAACTCAGCAAAACTATCATCGAAATAAAAAAAAAATAAATGTATTGTAACCAAAAACATTTCCGATTTAATGATGAAAAATTATGTCGAGTAAATGTCCACCTCCTTCAATGATTTTTGCTAAATTATTGCGCTTCTGCTGGGACACAATATAAACTGTGATGATTTCGGTAATGTGTTAGAAATGAATAGTACGCAAATAAGCAATAATAAAATTTATTGAAAATTAATACTATACAAAAAAACAACTATAGAACAGTTGTAAAGGACATTGATTATTTTTGTTCCCCAACGTGCGTAGGTAGGTAGCTTAACTAGATTGTCTTAAAATGTTGGTTAAAATTTTAGAATGATGACGATTCCTAATTATTATACCCTATACTAGCGTAATGAGTGAAGATGGAAAGTATAAAATAATGGGATACAGTGAAAACATTTTTGATGATGATATGTTTTAGAATTTAACTATACTTTAAGTATTTTTAATTGTATAGATACTTTTGTATAAAATTTTTCGTAAAATATTTTTATGTTCCCGTGTTTTATTGTATTTCCAGAATCAAATTCTATGGACATTTGTGAACCTATATAACTATATAATATATATTCGGGTAGAACTAGTTTTTTGTTCTTAAATTATAATAAAAATATAGATTTGAAAAATAAACCATTCGGATATTAAACTAATAGTGTCCACAATAAAGATATAAATATATTTCCTGCTTATAAAATTCATAGTTTTTTTCATTTTAGGAAAAGTTTGATTTTTCTATCAAAAAACGAGAGTTCATGAAATAACATGCTTTGACAGTCAACATAGTATTATACTTATACGGTGACGTAGACCTTTATATGACTCCTATTACCCATTAGGGTTTGAAAAGTACAATAATATACGTCATAAAGTCGTTTTAGGTACACATTAATATGTACCTAATCGTAAATAAGCTAATCAACAAGAATATAAGCCATGACTTATACGTTTGTATTAAAAAAAATTATAAATAAGTATTATAAAAATAGTATTATATTTATATTAATTTTTTAAGCATATGAATAGTGTTTATTAATTAATAATTATAGTTTTTCAATCATAAATTATACTTGAAGAGTCTTGCAAAAGTAAGGTTTCTTTTAATTCGATAAAACCAATAGCTGTTAATAACCTAGATGCAAAAAAGTGATTGGAAGAGGGGAGGGAGTTAAATACAAAGAATATTACACATAGTATCATAAAAATACATAGTTTTTAAAAAATACTACATTTTTCAGTAATTATTAATATATTTTTTCAGTAACAATTTAATTACGACTACAAATAGTAAACATGCAACATAATAATATTATATAGTGCGTGTTTTACAACGTACCAAAAATACAGGCTCAAGTATTACTTATCATCGTAAATTAAAATACACATTTCATCAATATATAAATATATAATATACTTATTGTATATACATACACACACACATATATATATATATATGTATGTGTGTATGTGTATGTGTGTATAATATATACATATATTTAACAGGAGGTGCTAAATGTACCAGCTACAATGTCTGTTACTTGAAAATACCAAGAACATCGTAGGACACTCCGTATAATATTGTATAAATAAATATATATATATATTTATATACACGTCTATAATATAATATGTCCAACAAACAACAAATATGTATTAATTAATTTGTACAAATAAAAATAATAGTTATGTATCTAAAATAAAATATCGAGTCGAGTTCTATGTATATATATATATATATATAAATATATATATTAATAATATAATATCGCGGTTATTAACGTTTTACGGCATACCATAATGAATAATACTATATAGCTAAGTGGTCTAAGTATGCCTATTATTTATTATCATCAATTTTTTTTCGATTGAGCTAAAATAATGTAACGGGCGAAGCCAATTATAATATGTAGCTATTACACCTACTGCTGTAGTATATAGGTGTATAATTAAACGCCTGTAAACATCAACCAAATTCCCAGTACTCTTAATCCTTATAAAGTTTAAAAACGAAATGACAACACTCATGATTTTGTCTTGAGTTTAATTTAACTTTGACGAACGGTAACTACAGTGCCGTGTTCAAAGAAAGGAGGAAGTTTCCTAAGGACCAATTTGGCAAAATTTTGTGAGCAGAAAAGTTTTCAAATAATTTTAATTTTAATAATACTTTTTTATGTTTTAAAATGATAAGAAATCTACTAGATTCATAAAAAAAAATTTCACAACCTACAATATTTATTTCAAAACATAGTTCGGATATTATATTATAAATATTATTTCATCTTTAACTATGCATAAGTTAAAAATGTGACTTTTTAAAAATAAATAAATGTATAATAGTGTGTTTGTTAGGTATTATTCAATTGTTTTGCCATGTAGATAAATGAACAATAAAGAGTGGCATCATAAAATTTTTCCCCGGGTGGCACAATAACACAGCACCGGATTATTATAATATTATTGTTAGTACACTAATACGCAATACGTATACAGAAAAAGACTGAAATAGATAAAAAAAAATAATGATAGTGTATAATCACGATTATATGTATATCACCTAATTAAATTAAAAAAAAAAAAAATTGAAAGTGAGAGAAAAAGAGAAAAAACAATTAAATACGCGAATGATCGCAATAAATACCTACGTGACACATACATAATACACAGTGTTTCTATAATTCTATATAACTATTCAATAATAACAATAATAATGTATGTAATTAAATTTTTAACATTATGAAATTAATAATCTGAATGAAATTCGAACGTACATAAAAGGCGTATCATTGAATAATGCAAAATAGCAAAATATTAGGTATAATGATATAGGCGACGGTTATGTTCGTAGAGAAAAATTACTTGCCACGTAGTTATAGTATATCGTTACCGTCATTTCCATTATAATATCGTATAAAGGAAGTATAAAATATATATAAATACAGGTACCCATGGTCAGTTGTTGTAGTAACTTAAAATAACAAGGGCATGTACACATACCTATTAAAAATACCTATGACTATGTGTAATAGATTTATCTATTAAATTTAATCGAATATAGGAAATGATGTTTTTTTTCTTAAAGAAAATCATGCTGTTCGGGGGAAGATTTAAGTGTCTGCACTCATTATTTCAAAAAGTCTTATCTTTTCATTATTTTATGTAAGTAACTTTTTTGAAAAAAAAATATGCTTTATAGGTTATTTAGGGTATCAAAAACAAGGCCACAGTTATTAAAATTATCATTATTATTATTATTATTATTATTATTATTATTGTTATTATTATTACTGCTACTTATATCGATCACTACTTTACAATATATAAACATATAATATGTACGTTATATATTATAAAGTTCTCTTGCACAACATATAAAATAATTAAACAGTCCAATGCGTTGAAACAAAATCAGAGGTACCGAAGGTACTTAAAACAGTGAATTAAAATTTAGTATTACTAAGATTTATTGTTATATAGTAAAATTGTTTATTACGTCTAACTGCTACAGTGTGGTCTGTGCAAGTGTACTTTGCTATACTATTATATGAATGAATAATTTTTGAACGTCATGATAATATGTATATTAATACCTACTATATAATATAATATAATATACCTTATGAAATACATACATAATATAATAATTTATTAGGCCATTTGTTCAAAAATTATTGCATAATATTTAACCATTGCTTATATTTTAAGTAGCATTATTAAATAATAATAATAATAATAATAATAGAACGTATTTTAATTTATAATCGTATCGTTTTACTGGATAACAATTTGAACAAGAATATTATAAAATTAGATATTTGTAATGAAATTGATAGAAAATGAATTATTAAAGAATAAATATGAGAATTAATAAAAATAATAACATGATTCGATAAAAATACTTAAATGTGAAATATTTTTTAAATTGAATCAATAATATACCATCTTGTAGTTTATAGAAGATAAATAAAATGAATCATACAAATAAATGTATTTAAACAAACATTTTGTATGTTTCCAATTAGTTTATTAATAGTCGTCACGTTATTGGAGTCTATCTCTGAACTTAATAAATAGGGATTTTTGTTATCAATAGCTGTTTTTTCAACTGGTTAACTTTCTAAAAATATCAATGCGGTAGGTTTTGGTTCTAAATTCGATTTCTTTGCTTCAACTACAAGAAACTCGATTTCGGATTTGTCAGTTTGTGCAAAAGATTCTGCGATGAGCCTAGCTACTTCTTGATGAGGCATTCCTAAAATAAAAAAAAAAATGAAAATATTTGTTGTTAATGATACTAACTTTTATTGCTTACTTATATATTTTACACACATAATATAATATATTACACAATAATATTTTGGAAGAATACTCACCTTCTACTTTTTGACCGTCGACTTCTAAGATCAACTGGCCGACTTCAAGACCACCAGCTTCGTATGCAGCCCCATTTTCCTAAAATTATAAACTTAATGGTATAATTGAATACTATTATGCTAATATCTAATATATTAGTTACAACAATTTAATTTTCAAAAATATTAATTAGTGTAGACTATTGGCATACTTAATTAAGAGTAAAAAAACATTTACTTAATTCTACATTTCTACGTTACTATGATTTGACATAAAACAATAAAATATGGCTGTAAAGTATTAGGTACTCTATAAATCAAACTCATTATAAAGTGAATATATGTATGTATGGCATTATCTTAACATGTTTTTTTAGTTAACAAAAACTTAAGAAAATTATTATCACGTCCATAAAAAATTTGTGAATTCATTATTTGATTACAGAAAAAGAATTGTTGTGTATAAAATGTACCAGTGTACTAAAAATATTACATTCATAATCTATATAGTAGTATAATTAATATTTATATTGTATAAAATATCAATAAAGATAATTTAAATCATTTAAAGCCGAATTTAAATGTCTTAAATATTTAAAAATTGAAAATATCTTTACAGTAAAATTTAATATTTTGGTATATGTATATATATTTGCGTCTACACTTTAGCCTTTAGCCATAGAATAATTATTTGTAGCTAAACAATATTATGAACTAAAATATTTAATAAATTAAAGAATATATTTCTAGTGAATAATACAAATTTTGAAAATAAGAAAGTTTTAACATTATGTGTTCCATAACTACAAGTAGGTAATAATATATATTTATAGTATACACGTAAGTAGATACCCACAGTAAATACTTAAAAATCGATAAATACCATTAACTCATTGAAATTCATCGACAATTATTTAAGCAGTCTGTAATAATATAAGGATAGATGAAGTACTTATTAGTCGCTACATCTAACTATAAATTCTTATTGAAACACAGGATGTTGCTTTCTTTTTTTTTTTTTTTACAAATAACTAATTACTGATATATGTCAATATTTTAAGTTATAAAACTGATAATTAAACCTTGATTATAATTTAGTGCCTAATACCTAAAAATAATAATTACCAAACGTTAACATTTATACAATATTATTAATAAGACAATTTACTTTCTGAGTGAAATTGTATTATAAAGGCCTTGGAAACAATGACTCAACAATTAAAAGAATCGTAAATACCGTGATAATTGTAATAACCGTGTCTTTGGTCTGATGGCTAACTAGAAAACTGAATCTGACTAAATTACAAATGAGTCGGAAAAATTTAGCGCTTACATTATGATATAATATATGTTTGGTTTATAAATTAAAATAGAGTTGGTGACTGATAAAATCAAGGATAATAAAATATAAAATTTGCGACAAATGCATGTACAAATAATATTACAACAGTTGTCATTAAACCAAATTATTAATATGTACCATAATCACTAGAAAACTATTAGTATAGTTATAATATTATATTTAATTTTAATAAATGAAACATATAAAATAATAAAGTAATAAACAAGAATAAGATAATATAATAATCGATAAATATTGTTCACCTGAAAGATACTTTTTATTGATTTAAGTTTGAAGCAATAATAAATTGTCGTATACAACATTTGAAAAACGATCTTTAACTATAAAAAACTAGGCTATGAGTAGATACCTACCTTTATTTATTACTTAATTTAATTCATTTTTTTGAAATTAAAATAGGTACACATATTTAGTAGTATGTATTTACAAAATACTAAAACTACGAATAATGGTTATTTCTGAAGTTAACATATTTTTATTCAAATATGGTGTTGAAATGGCAATACCTAAATATTTGTGTCCAATTAAAATTTAAATGAACCAAATAACACTATTTTACATTGAAATAAGTTAAGTATCTAGCACTTTTAAATTTCAAATGGTTAAACAGATTTTTAATTTTAGTCGACTAAACTGAAAATTTGAATAATAAATAATGACCCTACAGTTAAGGTAATTTAATAATTTTTAATATTTTATCAAAAATAAACAACAATATTATTGTAATTATTAATAAATTTAGTTGAATTTCAAACTTCATTCCTTTAACAAATATTTTGTTAAATAATTAAAATTGAATAATTTATAAAATTACAGTATAATACCTATCATAATTGTCAACTAAATAATACAATAGATGAAGATGTTGACTAGATTTTAATAGCTTAACATTGATTACCTAAATCATTAACAGTTTTTACCAACATTTTTTTTCAGCAGCTAATATACCTATTATTGTTGTAGGACTATATAGCTGCGTAGGTAACTATTTTGACTTCTAACTTCATTTAAAATCTAAAATCTGCATTTAGTTCTAAAATTATTATTATACTTACATGTATATTTATTATCCTTGGAAGAAGATGTTTTGTGTTGATTCCACCTTCAATTGCAATCCCGAGTAATGGTTTAATCTTTTTAACAATTATACGAAGATTGCCTTGTTGATCCAACATTATCTTTAAATTGAAAAAAAAACAAATTCAATTTAAAAAAATGAGTATAAACGTGAAAATGTAAAACAATTACTTGAAGCTGGTAAATAGAAATAATGTCTATTATTTAAATATTATACATTTCCATGTATATAATAATAAGTATAAGTGAATTAATAAATTAAAATGATAAATGTTTTAATACAGCTTTACAATTTTATTAATTTTTTAACAGCCGAATTCTGAACTAATTAGTAGTTAATAAATTTCATGATATTTACTAGCCAATAATCTACTCTTCTTCAAAAATATGTATTTAAAAAATTATATTTATATTAATTTAAAGAAATTATTTGTAAAAAACATTTGATGTTTTTACAGAAATAATAATAAATATTAAATACCATATAGTTAATATACTATAGATAATATAAATATTAAATTAATTTAAAAACAAAGTTTAGAGTGCAACAAACCCTTAATTTATTTAAAGTAGGTAATAGGTATACATAATTTTCTATGTCATAAGCATATTCATTATTTATTCAAATGCAGTACATAGAGACAAAAGTGCCAATATGTGATCTAGTGTATTAATGTAGACTTTGAATTAAATAAAATATTAATGAAAAATTAGTATTATTTATAGTTAATTCATATAAAAATATATTTATTATTTTCATTATTTATAATTTTTTAAGTCTATAAAAATATCTTTGAAAAGTAAAATTGACATGATTTTTACTTTTATAACAAGCCATACGTGAGTAACAAAATCATTACTCATTATTTCATTAATCATGCCTTAAAAAGTAAGCAAAGGTGGACATTAGCGAATTAAAAAGTTAATTTCCTATTAAATACATTGCATTATGAGTTACATTTTTATATTCTAACGGGAGTGACAAACAAATGTATGTATGTGTGTATATTTTACAATAAAAATAAAATGCTTTATTTTAAAATTTAATAACTTTTTCTTAAGAAAGCGAATCTAGTTGGTTATAGCCATTTGATATTTTTAAATTTTAATTTTTTTTAGTTTTTTTTTAGCGACTAAAGAACTTTTTTTGAAAGCTCCTAATTCAGTAGGACTGAAATTACCACAAAATTGTGTATCGCTGCCATTGTGAACGTTTGCAATGTATTCAATTGTTTTCAATCTAGAATTCTTGTCAAGTACTTATTCAATATTTTTCTTGATTTTTATTCTAACCTTTCCTAGGGCTTCTTTTAATTTTTCTCACCGTATCATTTTAACTGGATTTAACGACGATTTTTTTCAAAATAGAGGAATATTTAAAAAAAATATGTAATAAAAGTAAATATGTTAAAATATGTAAGTAAGCTAGAATATGTAAAAATATGTAGTATCAATTATAACTTAAAGTATTCAGATGGCCCTGAAACGTATTTCTATAGAAGAATCGTTCGATTACTATCGCTCATCACAAATATGTATATACATAAAAATCTGCGTCCTACATAATATAACCATTTAAAAATATTGAAATACATAGGTTGTATAGATTTTAGCTATTCAAGCATAAAATATTTTAAAAATATTGTATAATAATATAATAAAAGCTTTATAAATCTTAACACAATACTATATATTATTTGAATTTCCAATTCATCGTTTCTTATGAAGTTATGAATAACCAATATTGGAATAATATTTCATGTAGATAGAAAATTTTAAACATAGAATGCATTATAATAATAAAATTGTTTATTTTAGTTTTTAATATTTCATATTAAATACAGTGAAAAATAGCAATTAATAAATACTTTCAAATTACCTGAGATTCGTTTTGTATATTATTGGAACACGATGATTCTATAAAACCACTTTCTCTTCGGTAACTTCCATCCTCATCCAACAATTCATTTTTACCATCGTATGACCGCCCGTGTTTGTTTGATAATTGCTTTAAAAATGTTTTGGTTTCATTAATAATTATAATTTATTAAGATATCATTGGCTAGCCTTGATAATGTTTATACATCGGGGTAATCACGCATAAATTGTATACACTTTTTGTTTATTTCAATATTATAACAAAAATAATATAAAATTTACACTAAAATTAGTTCACCGACCCTTCCTTAGGTTTTTATTTTTAATTGCCATTATAATAGAAATGTTGTATCATCATATCTTGAAAAAAAAATATTATTAAAATAATTAGGCAATATTAAATTTCTCTTTCCTGTTTTTGTTATATCTAGTCAATTTGATGATTTTATTTTGGTTACACTCCAATACAAACATTTAAGTTCGAGGATTGTTTATGTTATTACTTAATATTCGAAAAGTTTTTCATTATTCGAGGTACCAACGCATTTTTACTTCAGTTGTTTTGAGTTAAAAGATACCCATGTTTAATTACACGCATTATCTGTAATTGTATCATAAAATAATAAAAATATCTTAACACACATATATAATGTTTATATATATATATATATATATATATATAAACATTAGAGTATAAAATTCATTCGTTTATTTTTATTATAAGATATTTATTTTATAACAAAATATTTGTTTTTTACTAAATCTATTGGTAAATACTTGGTAAATATATTATATTCCTATTGAAGAAAAATGTTATTGAAATTGCACACATTGCAATAAATCAAATATTAAAATAGGTACCTAATATATTTTAGTATTTAGTGGTTAAACATATATTTAATTTGAGGTGAGTGATGACATAGCTAAAAATGTGATGTGTAAATGTATAAATGTGAATAATAAGTAATGAATTTAAGAATCAAGTTTGATAGTATTTGTGTAAGACCATACAATTATAGCAATATCTACTCATGCCTAATATAAGCACTGTTATGTGTTTTGATAATTTTGAAGGTTTACTAAGCAAAAGGAATACTGAAAAAATTCTGAGATTTTAAAAACTAAATGAACAATTTCAAAATATAATATTTACCTATTTATCTACTACATAATATTACAATTATATACAATTTAACCTTTCAAGTGTTAATAGCGGATATATAATCCACTAGAGTTTATATGATACTATGAAAGATGGGCAGAAAATAATTTATGAATCGAGCAAAATTTCAACTGTGGCATTTATAGAAGTCACTTGTCAAATGATGGTAGATAAGCAAAGCTATTTTTATTTAAATACTTCAAGTATAGTAGTCGATTAATATTCATTGACATTCTACTAATTTATAAAATGTTTGTTTTCATTACTAATATTGTTATATTAAAACCTAGGCCTGCAGATAGTGGCTGAAATAAGTATTGTTAAACTATAAAAAATCATAATTTTTCTTCTATTTAAAATAAATATTAACTTATACCTTATGTTAAAAAATTCAGTAATAACTCCAGAATTTTGATAACTGTTAACTTATTTTATTTTCTATGCAGAGACTACAAAACATAAAAATGTCATTTATAAAAATTAGTAAAAGTTACAACAATCTACCAAGTAGATTTGTAGATTTCATTCAATTATTATCAAATATTATCTTTGCGCTTATGATATTAATAACAAACAGTATATCATTTAAAACTATAGAACATTTAACGGTTATATCTATGTATCATTTGTTAAAGACATTTAATTTAAAAATATAAAAAAGTAAAGAAAGTAATAAAGAAAATTATTTTTACAAGTATTTTATATAACAATCAAATAAAATCAATACAAATGATTAAAAATGTTACAAAATGTGCATGTAATTAAGTAAGAACTTAATTGTTTGATATCACTACAAAAGTTAACGAAATTTAAAAAAAATTGTCGAATTTATTAACCATTTCATCAAACATACCACTTTTGGTAAATATTTAATTGATTTAACTTCGTTCTATGAATAGCAGTAATTAATTATAATATCAACACTTATTTTAAAGAGATTATAAGATCTATATGAATAATTATTAATTGTATTACAATTCTAAATCAATTATCCATGTTTTTTTCACTGATAATTAAGTAACTACTATACCACAGTTATTTTAATTATTTATTCAAAATTAAAGTTTGTACGTTAAAGAGTTAAGTAATTATATATTTTTACTTATAGAATATTTTTAATTGCTTGTAACTTTCGAAGTAGGTACAAAGCGCGAAATGTGGGGTTTGATCTGAGCTTCTATTTATAAGGACTGCAATAAAAAATAAATATTATTGTTTTAGTCTTAGACCTATGTTATAGAAAAATAATACTTACTTCACGGACCCTGCTTATTTAAAATAAAAACCAAATTAATATGAAGTTTAAAAAAGCCATATTTTAATAATTACAAAATAAATATATTGATAATTAAGAAAAATATATATTCGTGATTAAGTGAGTAAATTAATAAAAGCCATTTAAGTATTTTAACTCTGAAGTGCACTTACAGGGTATTTACAAAAATGATTTACCTATGTTATTTTGGAATATGGTCTTAAGTAGCTGAAACACTAAAGGATTATAAGACATGCCGAATTTTGAATTTGAAGGTTTATTATATAAAAAGTTTGTTAGGTATATATAGATAAGGAATATAAATTGAAACTACAGTTCTTTAGAAGCTCTAAAATGAATTATAGATCAACTAAATAAAACATATAAACACAGAGCAGTAAACAAGATAATATAAGGTAAAATTCTAGTTAAAGATGAAAATAGAAGACGGTGTTCCAAAACTAAAGAAAACATATCTAACTACTTGGTTCACATACAAAAACTAAATGGAGCTGAAACATCAACTGAAACTTACTAGAGAACTTCCATAGTACCAGGATTTCAATTTTTGGGTCCATCCCCCTAAGTGGGATCGCAGTCCCTCCAAGTATCCACTCTGAAAGCATCAGCAACGTTATTTGCGTAAAATTTAAAAAATACCTATAATTAAGTAGCAATACAACTGTATGTAATTAATTTACATATTTTATAATTTATTTAATTTTTTTTCGAATTTTCATACTAATTAAAAACTTTATATTCTCTATCAAATTGTAACTGTAATAAATAAAAATGAATGCGCTACTCAAGACCAATTTAACCTTTGAAAATTTAAAAATAACGAACTTTAACAAACTAGGTGTGAATATAAATCCTATGAGTAATTGTTTTTTTATCATATAAATTATTGTTAAATATATTTTTCATTAATTTTATGTGATAAAATGTGAATCTAACTGATGGAAATTACAATATGTACTTAGTGTAAGTTGTAAATGTCGATAGGAAAGTAGGGATATTTTAGGTACTGACAAGTGCACTTCCACACAATATACTGTATAGTACTTACTTAATTAAAACTAATCAGTTTATTTTATTTTTTTAATTAACTAACTACCTGCAGTATAATATACTTGAATTCGTAAGCACTATAACAAGATAACAACGAAGACTAAGAATTAATATTTAAAAAAAAGATATACCTAGGTAAATATCAAAATGACTAAGTATTATTGATAGATTTATTATGTTATTACCTATAAAATATATAGTAAGAAAAAATACATATGCATTTATATTGAATACAAATAATATTTTAATTAAGTATAATTATTTCTTAATTAAAAATTTATTACGTATTTTCCAAAAACGTGTACCCAGCTAATTATTTTACATTTGATAATTTATTGAAATATTACTAATTTAGGTATCTATGTATTTTTTTTTTACATAAGTACTTTCATTTTTTGATCAAAATAAGCTGTAATTAAGTAGAGAATAATAATTAAGGTACTTATTGGTTATTACTGATAAGTGTTTTATATACTCAATGACTACGAAAAATGATTGTTGTGGTTAAAAAACTTTATCAATAAAAAATACTATGCACATTATTGAGTACGTTTTTTCTTATTCTTTTTATTATGTTATCAATAAATTAGTGACAATTTATTAATTTAGAATAATTGTTAATAAATTTAATTATTAAAATAATAGTAATAAGTTAATACCTAGATCAGTGATATCTGATTTAGTAAAGTTATTTTCGACTGAGTTTTTAACAACATAGTTGATAACAAAAAATAAACATTATTGCTAACTAATATTGTTTTAGTTATTCAAATTATAATATCGGATACATGGCCATACTATTAAATGAATGTAGTATATATATATATATATAATATTATTGTCAATGCTCGAATTGAAAAAAAATTATTGTAGTGAAGCTCTGTTAAGTACTTATATAAAAAATACATTCTGAAATGTAATTTATTACAAAGTAATATCATGCCCCTCCCTAATTACCACTTAAATATTTTTACATACCTACTACATTTTTAAATCTTAATACATAAATATAAATTATAAAAGTATTTAGAAATTAATAATATCGACCAATATAATTGGTAATATTTAAAATAATGACCATGAGTAGGTCCACTTTAAAATAAAACTTTAATTTATTAGTTTAGGTTAGATATTAAATGTTGCTGATTTATTATTAGTCAGGAGATTTAAAATTAATAAATAAAAATAAAAAAGGTCATAAATAGCGCAATTTTAGGATTTAAAAGTCCACAAATAACAGTATAAGTACTCTAACTGAGTTGGATTCAAGGGTTTCACAAAAAGCAAATAATTTATCTCAAATTAAGTTTATAATTTAGAAAACTTTATTTAATATTTTAATATAATAAATTTATGCGTGACGATTATTATAGAGCGCTGCTATTTTCAATTGTATTTTTTTTTTAAATATTTATCGTTTTTATTACATATTTATGTTTTTAAAAATTCTGTTATAACATATTTACCTATTCAACATTTAATTTATTTCAGAAACTATGTTTTTGCTTCCTTTTTTTATGTTTATTCTTTAATAACTGAAATGCGTTTGGTAAATTTTAATTTAAAATTAATTCTTCATCATTTTGACATTATATTTATTTCAACGACTAATGGTTACATGAAAATTATTTCACATATTAATGGTTTTTTTTTTAATCGTAACAATATTCCATAGCTAAGCATATTTTAATAAATTAGATTTTAACTATAACTTTTTTATGTTAATTTTTATTTGGTTGTTATGAATTAAGTAGCGTAAATTAAACATAAATTATGGAACCTACTCGTTTAGTATGTAACTTAATCAGGAAAAGTTACCTATTCGAAATTCAATTAAATTTATTATTAATGAATTCAATAATAATAATAATATCTTACCTTATATTTTTATATTAATTTATTACTTATTTAATAAAATAATTTGAAAATTTGAAAATTAAAGATAGATCAAACACATCCTGTACATGTACTGATTACCATCATTCTTCCTTTAACTATCTTTCAAAAAAACACGTGCATCTTAACTTGAATTCCAAACTTTTGCTTAGTTTAATCTTATAAGGTTTACATTTTTTCGCATATTTATACATATTGTCGGATCGATAAAATATTCACTGTGATTCACCGTTTTTTGCTCAAAATCTAAGTCAACTAAACTATCATAGCTTTCATTGGTTTCACTCTGAATGAATTATTGTATTATTTTAATTTCTTTCAATGTAAGTTGAATAAGTGTGTACATCAAATTTATATCTCTTTTATCAATAATGAGAAATCTTCACTCAACAACCTTGCCGGGAAGACAAAATAAGACCAATATACATAAACTATAATTCAGTGTATATAGTGTTTCTTTGGGCATAGAATTAGGGATTTGTCAATTTTCTAATCCTTGAACATTTATTTTATTTCGTTTATCAAACACAAAAACATACATATTACAACAAAAATAAAACATAAAATAAAACTAGCCTGCCAAAACAGAGGGACTATTTTTGTTATACCTGTTGAAGTTAGACAACTGAGTCCTCCATTTCACTTTCTATTTTTTTTCCCAATTAAGAGCACTGCTTTTTCAAAAACTATTTATAGATCAATTCATTCTAAGCATTATGATGGTAAGTGCTTACCGCTCTGTTGTACAGTAGGTGTTGAATGGTTCGTTGTAATGGACGTGTTGAATTTGAATTTAATGATTTATTAACTAGATAACTATTTGTGGATGTACACTCAATTTTTTTTTCTATAAATAACAAATTATGAACTAATACTATACTAAACGAGCTGGTGAATAAATGATAAACAATTAACAGATACAAGTGAATTTTCAAAAATTTACGCTTTAAAATTATTGTTTCTTTTATATAAGTGAATCAATCAAAAGAAATAAAAAAAGTAGGTATATATACTATAATAATTATTCATAAAATTAATTACTATCGATTTAAAATGAAAAATTTAAAAAATGTTATAGATACCGCAAAAGTAGGTAATAAATAATAAGAATATCAATACATGATAAATGATAATCGAAAAATAGTTCTAAATAAAATGTTGTTATTTTTTAATATAGAATTTTCTAAGTAAAACAACTAATTTATTCTTAATAAATAATAAAAAATAGTACATAAAATGTGTATAATTTTGTATCAAATTTTGTTTTTCATGCATACTAAACATTTTTATGATAATCATAAATAGTCATTTAAGAGCTATGGTAATAAAAAAAAATACACCATCACTTAAATATATTATAATAATCAAGTAATGCTTTTTTAACAAAGTGGATCATTTTTACAATAAGCCCAACCCTGTGATGTATTGCTATTAGTAGTTGGAATGATGTGATGGTTCCATGGAAAACGAAAAGAATATTACCAAGATAATAATTTCACAATAAGATATATGAATAAGTACCTAATATATGAATATAATTCTATATAACTAATAACATGCTTTAATTTTAGATTTTTAACATAAATTATTTTCGAAGACATTGCTGTATTAAACTACAATGTTTTCAAGATTAAAACAACATAGGTATATTTTAACCAAATTAAATAAATTGAAATTAATATAATCTTAAACTGTATGAAACATGAAAATTAAATTATTTCTACAGTATATAATATTTGCATAATTTTAACTTTATAATATGTACCAGGTACCTATATTATTTAATATTTAATTTAAATAGACTTTATTTAAATGTGTTTAAATAAAATTCACTATATATATAGGTATATATTTTTATAGGTACCTATAACCTATATTAAATTAATAGATTTATAAATGATAAAGGTTTTAAAATATGACTAATACGCGGTTTAGTATTACTAAATTTAATAAACGATATATACTTAATGTATTATTCAAAAGGTAAATTTTATTGCAGTGTAACACCAAAATTTGAAATGTTTAAAGTTTTAAGGTATAAAAACTATATATAATATATATGTATTCAAGTTATTTTTTAATATGTTTATACTCGGACATTAATGGAGTTTGTTGTACATAAATTGTCAACGATTGAATTTCTAATGTTAATAAACTAATAATTTTATGATTTTGTACTTTACCGACGACCTAGTCATATTAGATTCATCATAAATGCCTGAATTTCGATGCGAATAACCAACATCAATCAAATCGTTATGATATTTTCTTGGTAAAAGCTCAGTTTCCAAGTCACCATAATCCTAAATAAAGAATTATAAGGATCAAAGGAATCTATAACAGTAGTCATTATAACAAATTACTGTTACTTACTTGATGGCTAAATTCGAATTCTTCGACTTCCATATCCTTATGCGACTGTTCATCAGTTTTCATCGGAGAATGTTTTCCTTCAGATTTTCTATCATTGCTAAAAATGAAACAATAGCAAAGTTATAATATTTAATAAAATAAACACTGATATTCAAATACCTATAGGTTTTTATATTTATTGCAATATAATAATTTATTGTTAATGTATAAGCTACTATAAGACATGAAAATGAACGTAAATATTTATTAGTAAATATAATATACATAGAATGATGGGTGAAATGTATTTCGCATAACATAAGCATAACAAAAGGTTCTACAAGTTTTAGTTAGTTATAAAGTTATTAAACTTATGTAATACCGGCAGTTTAAATAATTTTCTAAAATTGTATTTTAATAGTTATTACTTATTAGATATAACAATAGTTATATAATATGTATAATATATCTAACAAGAGTTCAGTTTTGTAAATAAATAACTGAAATCCTATGTATTTAAAAATATTAAAAAAATAAATGACATGAATATTTTGGATAAATGTAAGTAAAAATAATGTAATCTAAAAATATTTTAAATTTAAAAATACTACTATATTGTTGAATAAACATGAATGAGGTAGTTTTACAAATACAAGAATGAAATGATACTATATGATCTTTAAAAATGAACTAAATCAAAATATATAAATAAGTTTTAATACATTTTGATTGTAATGTATTATGTAAGCTAAATACCTACATTATATTATTTCCTACCCAAAAGGATATGATATTGTCTTATAAAGTTAAGTATTTTTAATTTAATTAAAATGTTGATTATAATACTTCTCAATTCCAAGTTTTAAACATTTTAAATACAATTATGTTGTTTATATAGAAACTTTATATATGTTTAACCGTTATAACATAAGTTACAAAACAAATTGCCTCCTGTATTTTATAAAATAAATTGTAACTTTTTATAATTATCTTAAAAAAGTGCTATTATCAACTTAATATAGAGTACAAGAATCTTTCACGTAATAACTATTACCTAGTCCTATAATTTGAATTTGAATACTCGGTAGTCCCAATATCCATCCCAGAATTTTCATTAGGGAAATCAAATCCTTTATTTTGACCTCCAGGTATATTTGAATTAAAACCATCAAGTTTCTGAAATATATAAGTATGCAATAGAATAGACATTTTTTCCCTTTAAGTTAAGCTTATTATAATTTGTAATGGCATTCTTACTCGGGAGTGTGTTTTTCTGGATTCCCGTCCTCTTCTATATACCAATTGATCAAAACGGTCTCGATCTGAGGGACCTATTAGTTCGCGCAATTCCGTCAACAGCGTAAACTAAAAAACCAGACCGTTATTAATGTAATCATGACCACTTAATTGTGTAACAGCTCGTTTAGTTAAGACCAATTTAAACACAAATATCAATACAAATATGTTTGAAATTCAAAATAATGAAACATTATATTCGTATGATGTACCTATGTGTTTAAATTGTTTCATTTCGCTTTTTTGTTTTAATCTATTTATAAAAATTTTCTATTATAGAAATGTGCTTTTTATTATAATGTCAATCATTGATTTTTGTTCACCTTATCAGTTGTATTGAGCAATTCGAAAAGTATAGTTATAAATGCGTCAATAGACATTCGAGAACACGAATACTCGTCCAAATAATACCGTAAAGTATTAAATTCATTTTTCGTCAGCAAAATTCGAGCTTTTTCCTCTACCATTTGAGATGCAGCAGATGTCCCTAACTTCAAAGCACCGTCTGCACTAAAATTAATATTGTCAAGTTAGGATATATACGTTTGAGTTAATTTTTTCTTAATTACTGTATAATATGATATTTTATAGAAATAAAATTAAAAAAAAAAAACCATACATTTTTCGAACTAATAATGATCGTAGATTTTTAAAATATTTATCCTTTGTAATGTGCTGGAATATATTTATACCTAAATTAAATATAATTAAAAGTTTTATCAATATTAAATATTTAAATATGTTTTTTTTTTTAAACTTGTTCGGTTGTTTATTATTTAGTGTTCTTAATTATAACTTTTATACAACTAAAATAATATATTTTTATAATTTATTTATTGATAAACTTTTAAATATCTAAGTAGGGTATTACTTGAATAAAACAAAACACCTAATCACTTAAATACTCATTTATCAAATACAAATATGTACACTATATTTATATAATAAGTTGAAACGTTTAAGTCAACATTTCATACATTATATAATATTGTATTTTATTTATAAATAATAATAGGTACCTATATTATTTTTAGGTACCTAATAGGTATATTTAATAAATTCTGCGTGTCTATAATTTTATACAAAATTTATAAAAAGACAAGTACGTTCAATCTTAATATTATTTTAATGGCATGAGCTTTGCTTTTTTATGTATAGGTACAATAGGTAACTACGTATATTATATAATTTGTATTGGTAACTGTTTAGTTTACCTACTTAGATTTTCGATTATTTTGTTAAATAATCTGTATTTTATATTTTTATTATTTAATATAAAGAAAAGAGAAATACCTACTAATATCACAAATGATAAATTATGTAATTATACAAGTAGTAACTTATTTATATTTAAAATATAATTATTTATGTATGTTCATATTTATATTGACTTAAAAAATATAATAGGTTTATCTAAAGCAGAAATTTTAGTAACCATTTAGTTTTATTAAATATTTTTGGAATAAACATAGTTAATTTATTCAACGGCAAGATTATTTTTTAATAATAATGTATAATTAGTTATGCAATTCAAATTATATATCTGTACGCATCGTCAAAAATATACAAATATCAACATGAATATTTTAATTTGTATACAATATTTAAAAAGAACTATTAACTCATTACAAACTAATATTAAAGTTAGAAATATCTATTCTTAAATTTTTTTAGCTAACGAGTATTACAAATTATTTTTAACTAATTCAATATTTCTAATTAAACTTTTTAATAGCCATCTATTTACTATTAATTGAAGCTTTTATATGAAGAAGTATAATAAAAGTTTTTCCTAAAATACATAAAAAAAATTTAAAACTACACAAAATACATAAGATATTATAAATTGTATGATTATTACAGTTAAAATGTAATTAATACTATAATAAATAATAATGGTCTTACTTGTCTATGGAATGATTCCAATTTGTATCTGGATTGTATGTTGTGCATGAATGAGGAACTTTACCGACATCTCTCACAGTAAGTGTCATTTGCTTTTGAAATTTTAATTGATTTACTGCTTCATCGTGTGATAAATTCAAAAAAGATTGACCATTTACTTCCAAAATTTGATCACCAATCTAAAAATAATTATTTCATTTATAAATTAGAACAATATAGTCTAAATTGAGTAACAAATTGATTCATTACCATAAGTCCAGATCGATCTGCAACAGAATCTTTATCGATACCAGTTATAAAAATACCTAAATTATATTCAGTTCCGCCTCTAATCATCAAACCAAGACTTTGTCCTGGTTCAATCACCAATTCAACCTTAAATCATTTTTGTTAAAAAAAATATAAACATAAATTAATATTAAACTTATTTAATTATGCTTACTTTTCTTATTTTATCTTTGGATGAACGAGTATAGGACCATTTTGAGTAAGGAGAAATGGGTTTGGCATATTCTAATGGAGGTGAGACTGGTTGACCTTTACGATTAATCCATGAATACGTTCTGGTCAATCCCCACGCATCGTCTTGATTAGTGTTCTCATCGTCGTCCTTTTTGTGCATGACGGGCATTGATTGAGGTGGCGATGGACATTTTACGGTCATTGTAATTTGACGATATGTCTTAAAAATCTAAAAAAAAAAACGAATTTAAGAAAATATTTAACAACAGTTCGAGTCTATCATACTTTTAATGCCTCTTCATGTGATATAGTTGAAAATGGCCTCCCATTTACTTCTAAAATTGAATCTCCAGGCTTAAGACCAACACTCTCGGCTATACTTCCTTCTTCTACCCGTGATATATACACTCCAACGTCTATTTAAAAATAAAAATATTTATTAAAACATATTAATTTATTAACAACGTGAAAATACAGTATACTATTTTAAATTTCAACCTACCACCATATTAAAATACATATAATAACAGTTCTTTATTTCTTAACTACTATTAATTACGATAATAATTGTATAGCATATTATAGTAACATATCAAATGTAACTAAATGCATATAAACTAATCTGCAGCATAAAATAAGTTTATTTTTAAAAAGAATAATGCGAATAAGTTAAAAAAAAATTAATTTCTTGATAATAGAATTTAAAAAAATTATGATTTGTTGGTCAAAGTTTTCTTTAAGTCTTCTGTTGTAATTTTATTGTGTTGCTTTAAATTCTGCCGGGTAAAATCCCGTTATAGAACAAAAATAAAACCTTGTTCACTACTGATCACTTTTGTTAGTCATCACTATTATTAATAATATATTTTTGGAACTGAGTTAGGCTAAGTTCACTTGGACGCGGTGCCATAGAATCTTGCGTCGTTATTACGAACGATGCGCAATATCGTATGACATATGAACTATGTATAGGAAATCCGTAAGTATACGTAAATATGCGCGATTAACTGATGCACATGTACGAAAACCTATCGTACTTCATCTCCAAATTTCCAATATGACATACGTAACAACACATTAATTTATCAATATAAACCTGTATATATCTCGTGTCGTTCGTGTTTCTTTCCATAAGTTCTTCAATATGAAATTTGTTAAAAATGCCAAAGGTAATAATTAATTAATGTATAAAAGTTTCCTATACTTAAATGAGAGACTACCAAAAAATTTAAAAAAAACAATATGGAAGTGTGTGGAAAGTAAAAATTATGTGTCATGCGATAGTCCACGCTAATTAAATGATGAAATAACGAAAGTTTTGAATGCGAATTCCCACTCACCAAATCCAGCTGAAATTATTGGTAAACAAATTTTTTCTAAACTTAAACAATTGTCTATGGATGTAAAATCATTAACTCATACTGTTGTAACAAAAGTCTACCAATAAATTACACTAGGAGTTACTAGTAAATTACCCAGTATCAGTTTTTTTTAAATACATTATTCGGTGGTATAAAATATGCTTAGAAACTTCCTCCATTAATCTGTTTTCTCTAAAGAATTTAATTATACCAGAAAAATTCTTACTCACAGAGAACGAAAAGTAATTTATGTTATGTGATAGTGGTAAGGAAAATTCTTAAAAATTACTGATTCTTTCTACAAAAGCAAATTTAAAAATCGCCGGAATATGTGATCATTGGTATATGACGGAACATTATTTTCTTCCCTCGTTATTCTCACAAATTTATACTATCATAAAGCTACATTTTCCCCTGCCAACCCGTTGTCTATGCACAGCTGCCTGGTAGTACATTGATAATAGACTTCGAGTAAGCAGTTAAAAAATCCGTCAATAAAGTTTAACCAGAATTTATGGTAAGAGGCTGTTAAAACTTTTTGTTACTACATAATACATTTATGGATATATTATTATTTTCGATACATAATAACATTTTTAGAATATTTAGACTAATTTTTAGTTATATTTATAATACTAAACAACTACGCATTATATACAAGGTTCCTTGCAAATGAATTGTAGGTACCTACAGAAATTAAAAAAATATCAAGAACATAATTATAGTTAAAAATTTAACTTGGCTAAAATAAATAAAATAATACTTTGTATAGGTATATATTAAACTGCTTGAAATAATTTAAAATTTAAATATATTCCAACTTTTTAGCAGCTATCTCAGACAATAGATACTCTAATTTACTATTTTTAAAGAGAAAAATTAATGAATTAAAAATAATTTTACTTACTTGATTCGTCTGCACCTCCTTTAACACAAATACCAAATCCTTGGTTGGATGGGCTTCCTGATGTTGCATTTGGTCTTGACATCGATATCGTACGTACTGTAAGATTATCATTATGTATTGTAGATGATGTGTTGTGCGGTTGCGATGTGTTTGAACCATGAGGTGGAGGTGATTGTGGTTTAACGTTAGACACATGATACGAAGAAGATGCGTTGTAATTGGGTGCTGCAAACATTTTAAGAACTTGTTCTGGAGAAATAGGCCTTTTTTTTCCAGAACTTCCACGTGAACTGGCATTATTAGAACGATTACTATTGCTACCAGTGCCTGTGTGATAAAACAAACGCGTGGCATACATTTGTAGGACAAAACAACTAGGTAAGTAATAACACTAACAATCACAATATTTACATGAAAAAAGTATTATATTTATATTATATATATTTATTATTATAAAATCAACTCCGATATAAAATTTAAAAAAAATGTATAGACCATATAAACCATGTAATTAATAGCGTTTAATTTGTTTAAATAACAAATTAATTGAGACCTTATTTTCAACAGAATTGAATTATATATTTTTAATTTATAATACAGTAGTTTTCTCTTGTTGGACTCGTGGTTAATTTATTCTTCATATGCCTATTGGATACAAACTGACTGGTCCTGATTTGCGCGTATACTATCGTCTATCACACATAGGAAACAAATTGTTTTTTGAACTCGCTATACTGGTTATTAGGGTTAATGTGTATTTTGAAGAGCATATTTCAATATTTTTAAGTTCATTTTTTCGCGTATACTTTGATGATTAATACTAGTAAAATTATATTTTTTTTCGACACATCACATCAAAAAGTATTTAAGTTATTGGAAACATTTTTTTAAATTATTAGAAATTAATAAGAAAAAAAATTTCTAATTTTATTTTTTATCATTATTAATTTTCATGTTTTCTTTTTTATAAATAACAGCGTATATTTTAAATAAGTAATAAAAAAAAATAATAAATATAAGTTCAATTTTTCTATTATAATGAATATATATTTTTATTCATAGACCTTTCACCTTATTGACTTATTGAATAAATGAACTCAAATATTCACATCCCGCAATAAGTTTAATAAGCAGCAACTACTGTACATAATAATATATACTACAATAATAAGAATTTATTAGCGTACATCAATAAAAATAATTTGTATTAGCTATACATAAATACATAACTATTATATAAGATAATTGATTATTTATTATTATTACTTGTTGTTTTATTTAGAAGAACTTTTATCACTATTTATTAGTGCATAAACTAAATAGTCATGCTTCATGCTTCTACCTATTATAAAAGTTATATATTCTATATTATAATCCATAGAAAACTCAATTTAAATTTCATACATAGCTATTTGTTAAATAAATTATACGAAATACTAATCTAAATAAAAAAATATAATACTTATTCACAATTTAAAATAATACGCTATTTAATATTTCAATCAACTTTAAATTTTAATTTATACTTCATATATATTATATATATTAGTTAATACTTATATTTTAGATCCATTTCAGTTGGATATCCTAATATTTTAGTTCACAGCTGTGTATATTAAGACATGCAGTTTTAACTTTTAAAATACGAATATAATACCATTTTATTAGTAATAATACTACCTTAAACTTGATATTTTACCCATGCATACCTACTACCAAATAATTTGAATTAAGATTACGTAAACTATATTCCCCCGCGATGTCTTTTATCTTCTTGTATGCAATTGAAAATCCTTATCTGACAATTATAATATAATATGTTACACCATAATTCATACTATTTAATAAAGCTTTAAAAATTTTATTGTAAAATAAATAAATTTAAAAATTATAAATATTAAATTATCTATAGTATTTACTAAGAAAAAAATGATTTAAGTTCAGGTTATAAGTTACTTAATACTTTGTAAAAATGTATCTACATATAAAACTTTTTAGTACTAATATAATTTAAATATGTATTTCAGTTGAAGTTAAAACTTCATAATTTTTCAAATTTACTCTCAATATTGTAAAAAAAAAATTTGAATTTATATTAGTTTAATGTATAAAATAATTTAATACCATGATTTTAATAACTTTATAGCTTATATAAAAGTAAGCTTTGGAAAATTTTGTTTTGTGATAAAGGCTTAACTATTTTTATTCTATATTATTAATATAATCTTTAATAATATGTATTAGAAGCGAATAAAAAAGTTCTTAGGCTTTTATATTGGCTCATAAATAATGACTCAAAAATCATAATTTGTATTTTTATACATGTTAAATTTGTATTTTAAACATTAAATAATAAACCGTTAAAAGGTATAACATTTTTAAAACATCATAAATATATAACTAAATATATAAAAGTAGTCTTAAAATTATTTATCATGCAATTTAAAACAAATATCAAATCTATTGTAATTAAATGTGTAAGCTATATTTCCATACAAATATTTTTAAACATGCAAAGTTCAAGTATTATTTTATCCAAAATGTTTATGTGTTTTGTTATATTATTATAAATTTCGAAAAAAAATAAAATTTTTTTTTTAATTTTGACTAATCCAAAGTATTTTTTGTATTCAATTTAAATTCAAGAAATACAAGAAATTATTAACTGCAACTAAATGAGATTACCAAACCAAAATTCATAATAGTTTTCTTGATTTAATATTAGGATCCAAAATTTATATAACAGCTAATAATTATAAATACCTGGGTGATTTTGTCCAGATACGCCAGCTGATGATTCCCTTAGATATGTTGCTCTAGGGGGTGGTGGTGGAGGTGAGGCGGCTGGTGGCTTTTCGAGTATTGTATAAGATGTACCTGGTGGAGAATAATACAGACCCGTTCGTATTTTGTTTACACCGCCTTTATTTCTTCCATAATGTCCCATGACATCTTCAGCTTCGGCAGCTCTACCACCGCTTCCGCCGCTTCCACTGCCGCCTCCTGATCTGTTGAATGGCAATGGCAATAGTCGGTGACCAGTACGTTGTCCTGACGGCGGGACGGATCCACTGCTCCCAGGACTTCGACCCCATCCTCCAAGCATCATTTTCCCATTACACAAAACACTTGTAAGTACTAATTGGTTCACCAAAATACCTGAAAATAGATTAAATTATAACGTTAAAAAATATATTACAATATACAACCAAGCATTATTTCTTTTTTTCAATAATACACCAATTATTCAAAATCTGTTTTTTAAATATTTTAAAATATACATTAAGACCATATTTTCACATACTTAGGATATTTTTGTACTGCTTAAAAAGAATTTAATGGAGATAAAAACTTCTGTTTTTTAAATTATAATCTTCTTTTATATTATAAATTATTTAATAGGTAATTTTGTGTACTAAAGATATTAGATCCATTTGTTTAGAAGATAAAGGGGACTATGTTGGTTTAAATATGTTAATAAGTAATAATAATCTACGATATTTATAATTTTTTTAAATGTTCCAAGTATAAACACTATATCAACAAATATTACATCCTTTTTATTTTTGAAGAACAATTTTTAAGAACTATTATCTTTAGCATGCGTATTTTAATAACTAAAAACTACTTGCTCAAATTTCTAATCAAACATAAAATTTTAAAATAAAATATTCATTGAATATACTGTGAAAATATGAGTTCTCGTTTGAAAAATAAAACAGAAATTAGTATCACCTCAGATTACTTCATAAATACTACAGAAAATCTTAAAAATTTTAATAAATTCATATTTAAATTAAATAGTTGGAATGTACAGACTTAGTGAATAAATTTACATATTCATAATAATTGAATATCATCCTTCAATAACTATAATAGTAAACAATACAATACTTTATACCTACGATATATCAACACCTACCATTTATATGAATAATAAAGAATCTATAATTCATATAGGTAATATAGATAATTAAATAATAACAAAATATAGTCATAAAAATTTAATTTATCCGATTATTATATTATACCTACACGTATACTTTCCTATATTTCTTAAATGTGTAGAGAGAGTGAATTATTCTTAAATGCGTTATGATGATTGATGACAGTCTTATATATCATACTAACGATTTTACAGAATAACCTCAAATCATTTTAGTACGGTCTGATAACTTATACTTAAATAATATTAGTACTTTAGCATTACTAAATATTCGATTATTAACGAAGAGTTGATGTATGAACAAGCGGTCATCAATTAACGTCTTCACACTTGTCATTAATTTTTTTAATGATTGGTATGTATAAATTTCATAAAATTTTTATTTAATTAAATATTACATCCAAAAATGCATAACTACAATAGTTTTTCTGTTAATAATTGAATACCGAAAGGCACAAAAATGTGAAAGTTCTAAAGCAGTATACATTATAAAACAATACGTTGATTCCACATAATTGTTTTATTTAAGATCGTTTATAAATTAATTTACACAAATATAGGTATTAGATAATAACTAATATGTAAAATTATTTTGCCAGCTAACAACCACTACAATAAAATAAATAATAATATTTTGAATTTTGTAGACATTTTATTGAAAAAAGACAACTAAGTGACTAGAAAAATTTTCATTTACTTAAAAAAAATATTTTTATCTAAATATGACTAGGTATCGGTACAAATATTTAAATTAAAATAAAATAATTAGTACTAATAGCTAGCAAAGTCCAAGCCAATATTTATATTACAAATTATGATTGGAAATTTAATTTAAATTGTTGAAAATTTAAATTAATGTAAAAACATTTAAAAACAAATTATTTATTCAGTATTCAAAAATAATAGATTAATGAATTAAAATTAAAAATATAATTAGCAAAATATTTCGAAAAATTCGTAATAATATTATACAATATATTCAAAACACCTAAACAAAAGTGTGTTTTGACAAAAATTATGAAATTTTTCATGAAAATTCCATGGACATGTTTGATTAAAATGTGTTGGTATTAATATTTTAAATAATATGAAGTGTCTTTATAAATATATAACTTAAAAATTAAATTAAAATATGCTCACGTAAAACAATTACAAATTTAAAAGTAATACTATGAACATTTTTAACTAATTAGAAAGTTAATTTCTTATTTATTCAACTTAAGTTTTTCTAAATAGTATTCAGCTTTATAAAAAAATTTAACTCAAAACACAGTCATCGGAGTTCCAACTAAACTTAAAATACTATATGCACATTTTGTGTTTAATTGTTGTAATATATGTTTGTTCTTTAATTTTAATTGGTTTTATAATAAAACCATTCTACAAAATTACTTATATCAATAAACTCTACAAAAATGTTTAAGTATTCTATAGTATTTCTCATGTTCTATATAAAAATTAAATATCAATAAATAGGTAAATGAAATATAAAAATATTATACAAATATAACTAACAATAATGAATAAATAATGATAATTTATAATAGTGGCAATTGATTATTCAAGAAAAAATATATCTTTTTAATTTTATAAATAATTAATTTCTTAACTATTTACTTTTTAGTATAACTATAAAGACTGTTGGATTATAGACCAAGACATGTCTAAATAAATATTTATAATCAATAATCAGAAATTAATAACTAATTTTAGAAATATTACATAATATTTAGGATCTAAATCTTATATTTAATCTACATCAACTTTTTTTTTATAGCTTTCTATCAATATATTTAACCATAAAATGTTTAAACAGTAAAGCAACTTGCAACTTAAATATTATTAGTTAAAACCAAAAGCATAAATTTCTTTTAGAATCTTATTTTCTTAATTATTAATCACTATTATAATTGATATTTAATTTATGTTTGAATAAATTGTATGTCCTAAAATAAGTAAAAATAATAATATGAACAAAAAAAATGATCAAAAAAATGCATTAAAAAGTTAAATCAGAATTTATAATTTATAGTTTTAATGGTTTGTATGCATGAAATTTAAGCTTTCTTGACATTACATATATATTTATATTGTATTTTATATATTTGTATTGTATAATTATGCTTTATAATATATAAAATGATAAATTTATATAAATAAATTCATATGATTACTACTAAAGCAATTATAAGTAAAAATATCTCATATAAAACCATTCTGAATAATGTATTAAAGAAATATTTAGTTATTTTTTTTTTTAATAAATTTATGACAATTATATAATTAATATTTATTTATGATTTTATAGTATATTTGTTAAAAAATAAATAAACAGAAATTATAACCAAGTTAATAAAATAATAAATACCAAAAATTAGCTCCAGTTTATTTTAAATTGGGCATACAATTGATGGAGCTTTTATTCTTAGTTGGATGTACGAATGTCTAATTTGACTATTACTAATATTACTTTAACGGTGAATATGTAATTAAAGAACAGTGTTCATCTTTGCATAATGGCAGATGTATTTTGCGTTATAAAATAATATAATATGTGTCTTATAATAAGATACTTCAAACATTGATGCATGACAGAGATGTAGCTAAATAGTCTATGTAAAACGCCGTGTAATGATAATTTTATCTTCGATTTAATCATTGAAATTAACAAAAAAAAAAAAAAAAAAATACAAAACAAACGTCTTAAAAGAAGTAGGAAAATAGACCCAATATTAACAATCTAAAAATTGAAAAAAAATAAAATTTAAATCGAATGCATACATTTAATAATATGTACCTCTACTTTAATCCTTAGTTATTGGAATTGTGCATTTATCATAAATTTGATAAAAGTAAAATAATGATTTATCAAATTTAATTTTAAAATAATTTTAAATATGTTCAAGTATTTCCTGAAAATGAATAAACTTATAATAATAGGTTTGTATGTAATACATATATACAATATGACAAAATGTTTACATGGAAATCTGTCAAGAAAACTTAAAATTGTTATCTTCAAAGATTTAGATTATCATACAATTTGTAATGAGTAAAATAATAAGATAATTTTTATAGGATTGAGCAGTAGCCTTATTTTGATTTATCCTAAACAGGTTAACATTATGTATTATAATTATTGCTAAGAATGTAATTTCTTTAAAAAAAAAAAACAATGAAAATTAAGCCCAAAAATAAAATGCTTTTATGGTCTAAAAAATATATACCTATCATATAATAATAACTTATTATTTATTAATAAATATTATTAATTATTATAAATTTAAATAAGTGTATAATTGCATTACAAAAATAATTTTGTGCAGAATTAGTTTAAATTTTTTGTTTATTTTTAAAAATTTCTTATATCCGTATGATAATCATAAAAAATAATAAACTACTTTTGTCACTTTATTCTTTAGTAAATTTTCGATCGGAAGACAAATATTAACTAGAAATATTTTAAGAAGATGAAATTTCAAGAATATAATAACGGTCATTGGCGTAACTTAAGGTAAAAATCGATTAGGTGAAACACACTATTGTCTTCTCGGTAAAATATCTAAAGGTCAGTAGCACCCCCCTACCAGAATACGCCTATAATCACAACCACATTAAAACTGATGTTTTCAGGATTCTTAAGATATTAAAAGTTTTGGGTTTATTGGATTCATTAGTACTGGTTAATATTTATATTAATATTAATATTTAATTTAAAAAAACTGAAACTGAAATTATTATAAAAGTTACAGTCCCTGCGTTAACTTTTCATTGAGTATTCGATTGAATATTAATATTTATTATTTACTTTACAGGTACAAATCAATTTTCAAAAAATGTTGATGATTTTATTTTTCGGACTTATTTTTATGAAACTTATAACTTCATTTTAACTATTTACTGAATAATGATTTGAAAATAAAAATTAATGTTATGACGATGTTATGTTCAATAGGTTTTAAATTTTATAAATGTATAAAGTCAAATAAATTAGTTTAAACAATTGTACGATGACAATATTATTATACACATGTAAATACAAATATTAACAATTGTTTGATATTTTTAATATTCTTTTTAGTTTTTGTTTAAATTTTACTATAAATATATTTTTAATACTTATTTATGATTTATTATACTTGTAAAATAAAATACTAAAAAAAATTTTTATCATCTAACTGATATATATTTTTATATTTTTTCTATAGTCTATAAGTTAACTAGTACTACTGTCTACTACATTTGTGTATGTAAAACACAACGTCAATCATAAGTGCCTGTTGTAATATTATCATTATTATTATAACTAATAGCGATATAACTGTAACAATAATACATAATAGTAATATATAAAGTATATAATTATACTGCAAAATATAGAATATCCAAATATTGTATTTCATTACTAGTATTTGTAAATAATAGTCACTTGACTACAAATAACGATTTATAGGTACGATACAAATAAATTGGAATTACGTGATTGTTAAAAATCGTGATTTTTGCTCCACAATTGTTTTACATGACACAACCATGGATATAATATGTGCTTCTATCCGTACATCAATTATTAAAACATTGAATAAGGATCGTTGTTGATACGATTATAAATTATTAACAATTGCAATAAAACAATATAATAATTTAAATTCGTAATTGTAAGGTCTCGAACTTATTACATTTCCTTTTTCTCTTTTGTTTATTATTTGTTAGGTTTACTGTTTGATAAACTATAAACTCATGGCATAGCTTTCTGTAAATTAACTAGCAAAAATATGTAATGCATAATTCATAGAGAATATTTATAGATTAATACTAGTTTAAATGATAATACGATTTAAAAAATATATTTCGATTTGAAATTTTAATCTATTGTAGCCATAAAAATATGAATTATATAAGTTCGTGATCAATAATATTAATACTGTGAAGCATATTAAATTTTTTAATACAGCTGTTTATCCACTAAATTAATCAATTGTAGACGTTTAACTAAGAGAATCTTATAATAATATTGTAGACAATTTAAAAATATAAGACATACAAATTCAATACGTGGCAAAAATTAGGCACATATTTTTTTTTTTAGTTTATTAAATGCATATTTCGTAAAAATGATGGAAACATTTGTCATAATACTCACCAAACAGAACGATTCACGTAGTTGTAGACGGAAGACATGATACACGATGCCAGTTTATCGGGGTGTAGTCGGTGAAAGAGTGACGCCGCCGAGTTCTGATCTTGTCCTGTCGCGTCGTTGTGTCGTCGCCACCGTCGCCACCGCCGCCGCTATTAAGGGTTTTCGCACGCGGTACGGTTAACCGGCGGAAATTACGATGAAATCACACGAAGTTACTTAGCGCGTGCCGTTCGATCGTCTAAATACAATATAATATATTATATTACAATGTTAAAATGGATGACGTCGATGTGACTACGCGGTTTTGAACTACATATAAAAGCGGTGCTCGGTATGACGTCAGATTATTATTATTATTATATATCAGTAAGTATTATCATACTGATCGAGTACTCACCTTACAAAATTTGCTGTTCGAGAAACGCGCGTGAGAACGACGATAAGTAAACAGATATACACTGCAGGTCGATTTGTATAAATTACACATTTATATATAACCGTAATAATCACGTATAAATTATTCGTTTTTCGCGATGACGACTACGACAATGATAGTATTACAGTATAATTATGAACACGACAATATACGAACGAATATGCGTTATGTGAACGTACTTTTTCCGGAGAAAACATTCCGTTTTATTTTACCTTGTTTCAGTTATGTTTTGTTTTGTTTTTTTATTTTTTATGGGTCGCCCCGTTCGCTTTCATTGATTAAAAGTCGAATAACTCCGGAGCGACACCTAGTATTGATTCGGTCAACTATAACGCCGCCGTCGCCGTCGCTACCACAGTGATATTACATTATACATATACGAGCACGTATTTAGTCTTCCCTAGAGGTCCTGTAGAGGTGGTTGGTCGGGACTCGAAAGTCTGAGTTGTATATTTATATGCATATGAAATAAACGTGTGCAGCTAACACACACTATATTGTGTATGCATTAATAAATTATATAATCACACACGGGCAAAATACTCGTACTATACTTTTCGTATTTAAAAAACAAATACATGTTTTAAAATACATGATAAACTTTATTATTGTAGGCTCTAAAAATCATTTAGTGTTACAGTACATAGAAAAAAAACATATCATAAAATTTATAATAAAATAGTAAATACATTTTCTATTACACAGAGCAGCTATTTGAAGGGTTTTTATAACACATTCTTGGTGACCCAAAAAAAAAAAATATATATATATATATAAACATTTAAATGATTTTTACAAATATAAATTATTTATTTTAATGTTTATTTCTAATATTTAATAAAATAAATTTAACAAATCAAAAGATTTTAACTCTGAAAATTGTGAACTTCAATATTTTTTTTTATTTTATTATCTGTGTCATGCAATTAATTAGATATTATAATGAACAAATTCTCATTAATTTGTGTTTTGATATAGCATCTAAACGTTTCAAAAAAAGTATGGCATGTTTAAAAAATAAGCAGAAACTAATAAATCAGCTGGTAAGAAAGCCTGTCGTATATCATTTTTAAAATTATGATTTGCTTCTAAAAAATAAGTAATAATTATTTTTAAACTATGAAACATAAAAATTTGACATGACAAAATTAATGACATGAAAGAAATAAAACCTTTCTTATAGTAATTAATAGATTCTAAATTAACTAATTACAAAAAAATATCAACCTTTTTTCATCGAAAAATTAGTTTAAAACAAATAATACTATCATATTTTAATATAGTGCATAATATATAAAAATATTAATATTCTATAAATTATCAATATTTTACATTTATAGGTATTAGCTAATAATTTGGATATAAAAATCACAAAATAAAAATATGTTTACTTGTTTGATTTATAAAATATATTTTGATAAAATACGTTTTACAGCATATTGAATTTTAAAATACCAATGTATTTGAAATACTGTCTGTTCTTGCAGTATATTAACTTGAAAAAAAAGTACCTAAGACAAACATAAATAATATTTTCTAAGATATATATTATCACGTATATATGTGTATTAATGATATAGTGAAGGATCCGCATATAATACTATACGGATAATGTGTTCTTCCTATTTACAATACACGGTTTACGTTCAAATCGTTCAATATCGTATTACTATGTATTTTTCTTTTTTTCTCCGTTCACCTAGCGATGGCGATCCCTATACTAATATTATTCTCCCTTTTTGTTGTATATATATATATTATAATATATTGTACATCATGCGAATATTAAAGAGATAAGGGTTCTCATGACTTTCAGTTTTTAGATCGAAAAATTATTATTTTATACCAACAGTATAGGACGTTATGTTGTTCCGATAATAATTTAGAAAACAATTTTGAATTCCTCATAAAATATAGTTATTATAAATATTATGTAGAATATACTAGAAAATGAACGAAGTATATTATATATATATATTATTTTATTTGAAGAAAAACCATAACAATTTTTACTTTTAAAATATAAAATAATGATTATTAATAATAGTTTTTAAAAGTGTTTTGAACACTAATCGTTTATTCGACCGTAAGTAACTATTAATTATTTATAAAAAGATGTGTACCTATGCCAATGCAAATATTCGATTGTTTGATTTTGATAAGTACAGTCAGTACAAGACTGTATTGTCATACACTCGTTCAGAGCATTATACAAACGAAACGTTCTGTATAATGCACAATATATACATATACTAATAAATTAAAATAATGTATAATGGTAACCAATCGTAATCGGAAATTAATATTTGAAACGTTTTGAAATAAATGACGGTGGTATAACAACCGAAATAATATTGTTATTTATTATACACACGATCTAAACCTTCGTTTGAACATTGTAACTTATAAGGAATACGCCGCCAGAGTGGCGTCGCCCCGTCGCGCTCGTTGTCGTCGGCGGTTCGGCGTGGTTTATTTCCAATGGTGTGTCGGTGCGACAGGCACAGGGTCGGTATGTAGAGTAGTAGGTACCTCTCCTAAATCGTATTATTGGATGTGGAAAATAAACATTATTTTTTGTGTAAACATGCATTATGTAGTGAAAAAACACTCTAGCTGTGTTGACATTTCCCGCGCGGGAGCTTTATAGAGAGGGATGGATCTATCCATTTTTAGGTCAAAATCCGTTTGATATTATTATAACTACAAAACAGAATAAATTTTATCGACAGAATATAGAATATATAATACCACTATCGTATGTTTATAATATAACCATAATACAGTTACAACAATCAAAATTCAAAGCTAAATTATATTATTACACAAAAAAATAGCTACATATTATAACGTATACACAATTTTATAATTAATCTAATATACGAGTATATGACTTAAATAATTAATAAATACGTATTATAGTAGGTACTCGATATTTACGTATATATAAATATATGATACTTAAAATATATATATACTTGACGACGATTTTTTTCTGACAGAAAAAATTTTCATATGCTTAACGCAATTATTATTCTACCAGTTTTCCTTGAATTGTTCGTATAAAAATAATAAAATACGTCAATACAATAAGTTCCTATTTCTAAATAATAATCGTTAAAATGTATGTACTGGTATATCGAAATTAAATGATTGTACATTTTTTTTTTAGGAATCGGGAGTTTTTGAATAATATGGTTGAGTTACATAGTAAATATTACTTCGTCGGAAAGCAACGCATCAAGTCAAGTGCAATCAAAGCGGGCTCATTTTGACATAACACTATATTATAATTCTACGTTTTATAATACACATAACTTTTTTATACACTATAATGTATAAATATTAAATAATGAGCGCTCAAAAACCGTGACGTAGAAACAATTACATTATATTATATATTTATAAATTATAATATATAATACACTCTCAGACGTGAAAAACGAAATGAAAACATTTAAAAAATATTTGATTGAAAATTTGACTCTGAAAAAACAGCCGCTGTTTTCATAAGACTAGCTTATAGAAAATTTCATGATAATTACTATTTTACCACACATGCCATAAACAATAATATAATATACAGTGTTATTTTATAGCCATGTCTATCACGATGATCAAATTATATGGGTTTTTAGAACTTCACTAGATTTTGCTGATAATAATTAATGCTTCAATTTTCTGAACGCATTCGATAATGAATTCCACTACAATTAGGTTCTATAAACCAACGTCTTTGTATTCTGGGAATCGTAGTAAGCGTGATAAATTTAGTACGAGCAGATAAGGCCAGCATTCTAATCCTGTTTTGTGCTTCGTGTCATGTTATGTTCTTACCATTTACAATTTTTATAATATTATCAAACATTTGATATCAGTTACGTTTGGTTATGGAAAAATCATGTTACTACGATGTTACCATTTGGTACACATGATATCAAAAGTATGATTCGGTGAATTAAACTATTGTATAAAAACACGAGGTAGATATGCTCCCGAATCAATTACGAAATTGCCGATATTTTGCATTGGTCATCCTAACCTAACCTATAACCACTTGGTAAATTTTACAGATGGAATGCATATATAAGTCACTATAAATTAATTTTCACGGATTCTTTTTAATAATTATTGCATTTGTCAGTATGTTATAGTTAACATATAATTTACTTAGGTACTACAATTTATAAACAAAAAATAAACTATAAAAATAATAATCTAAAAAAATATTTAATTTTTGTATTTTTATTACTTATTATTTCATGTTTAATATAAGTTATAACATATAATAATTATTTTGTTTTTTATTATGAAAGCAGTTTTAGGCTAGTACTTAAAAAGGAAAGATATAAAGTAAAAAAAAATTCAATTTTTTGTTTGAGATTCATTATCATTGACAATTTATCATGGAAAATGACGTCATTGACTAATGAATGATACACATTAAAGTCTAAAATTAATTTTTACTATACATACGTCCTATATAATTGAATCATTTATAATTAGTCATTTAATGTTTTTCACTGTAAATTAACACAGGTTTTAAAAGGCATATTTAAAATTGTTTAGAAAAATTTTTTTGTTAATAATAACATAATTTATTATGATTATTATAAGTTTCTTTTTCAATTTTTCAAACTTAAAAATAACTAAAACTGTTAGGCGTCAGTATTATATACTAGGAAATTAAAAAGTTTAATATTACTATAAGTTCAATTTTCATAAAATAATATTAATCAATTAGTTAATCATTAATTTAGTTTACAACAATGATAAATAAAAAATAAATCAACGTTATTATCTCGTTTGATATTGTAGGATCTTATTACAGGAATATGTAGTTTCTCTTACTATACAAAAAAAAAAGTTAGAATAATTAATGAAATTCATTAAAAATAATTTCAAGAATATTAAAAGGTAATTGCATAATTAATTATATTTTTAAAATATTGATAATGATAAAGTAATAAACAGACCTAAAGACGTATAGCTCTAAAAAAGATTATAATATGCACGCTTTTTGTATAACTGTATTGTTTCAACATTAATGTCATCTGATTCTTTAAACGAAAAAGAAAAATACTCGTAATTTACAAATTATATATACATGCAAAAATTTTAATTAGTATTGTCTTTACAAAAATCAAATTTTTGGAGGTAGTTACTGCATAATTTCTCTTTAGAATATTAGTCTATAATATTTATATAATCTATGCATAATTTACATAGGTAAATATACAAGTGTCTTACTACTATATATATTTTAGTAGTTTA